ACAGAGTGAGACCTTGTTGCAGAAAACCAAAACAAACAAACAAAAATACAAATTCAGTGTGTCTCATTAAGTTGAAAGAATTTAAAGATATCTTAGTAGTGTTTTCAAGATATAATCCTCTGATACCTTTCTCAAAAATCACCTGCCAGTGCTTGGCAAAAATGCAGATTCATTAGCTCACTGCAGACTACTGGATGAAAGTTTTTGATGATGTGGCTCTAGAATCCACATACTACTAGCTTTCCTTGGGGACTGTGATAGATTTAAATTGAAAAAAACACTGTCCAATTGGTAATACAGAATACCCCCTTTATTTTTAGAAGGGATGTGTCTGAGGAGCAGAATGGTAAAGTGACCTGCTAGAGTAGCACAGTATGTTAATCAATATTAATATGTTTACTAATTCGAAAACTTGTGCTTTTTGCCTACACACCATTTTTTAACTTCATGCATCACCTATAAATAATGATAGTCAGATGTTTGTTATATACTGGTCACAATAACGAATAATGAAAGAATTGAGCTTAAATATGTTTTTTAGTGGGTATGAGAGAAGGCAATAAGAATAGATAAAAAGGGAATAATGGAAGAATAGTCAACATATGGTCAACATGTGATGATATAAGTCTGTGTTCCAGTATTGTGACACCCCTGTTGTAGATGTAACCTACATTATATTCCACAGATTCCCTGTCTTTATTTGTCTTCATGTTTATCAAAATACTGTGAAAATTCAAACATTGCAGAAATATATAATATGGGAGAGGGCTTCCATAATTCCATCACTAATATCACTAATATCACCACTGTGGTAAAAAAAAGTTGTCCATTTTTTCCATTTCTTCCTTAGTAACAGTTGTTGTTCTCAATTTCTTCCTTAGTAACGGTTGCTTGAATTGTGGAAATGGGGTAGGGAAGTAGCATGATCTACACAAAACAAAACGGCAAGTCCCAGCCTCTTCTGCAAATAAAAATCACGAATGCAATGTAAGCAGAAGTCATTTGATAAGGACTCCAGGAAAATTTTATAAAGGAATCAACTTGGCACAGAGACGTTTCCTGTTTATCCTCCCGCTCTTCTGTTTCTTCCTTGATGGTGACATGATAGCTGGAGCTGCATCTGCTTTTCTTTGGTTGAGTTTAGGAATTCAAACTTGAAAACGAAAATCATGTGTTAATGATGGTGGGATAGGAAGATGGAAGGGGCCGGGGGTGAGAATATTGGGAATTTTCTATGCCAGCTTTGGTCTGCCTAGCTCTTCTGGATTTCCTTAAATAAAAAAATAGTAAAACTTTACCTTGCTCAAGCAATTGTTATTGCAGGTGTCTGCTTTAGTAGCTGAATTCAGTTGCAAACTCACATGACACCCTTAACAGTTTGTTGTATGTTCTTAGTCTGCTTTCCAGGAAACCATCGTTATTCTATGGGAAGATGGCAGGAAGACTAAACTATGTAGGGAAAAGAATGAGAGTCAGTCTGGTGTAGAAATACATGAGATAAAGAAAGACAGAGCAAGGACAAAAATGATGAGAGCCATGAAGAATTTTAAGAGTCCTTCCTTGGAGCTTTACTTTCATTTATACAATAAATACATGAGCATATATAAAGTATCCCATAGAAGGCTTGGTTTTTGTCAGGCTGGTACCTTTTATTTCATTTGTTGGTAGCTATAGCTTGATTTCAAAGGGCAACCACCCGGCCTATATTCTCAGTTCCTAAGGTTTAAATGGGACTCACCAGATGTTTTGTCACCATAGTTGGGCAAATGACCCAGGACTGGTCAAACAGCCTATTTCATGTTTCCACAATGACTGGTTCAGGAATCAGCAATGTGACACAAGCCAGTAGGATATAATCTTAGTAAAGTCTGGAACAGAAGAGCTCATGTTTTGCTAGCTGTGAGGAGCCTGGAAACTTGGAGCTGCCTATAAATATCTCAAAAGAGAACCTGTGTGAAGATGATGCCAACATAATAAAGCAGAGTTGAGAGATAGAGAGGAATGCATTTCTGATGAAATTACTTTAAACAAGTTCTCTAATTGATTTTTGTACAAATTGTCCAAGGCATCCCTTTGGAAAACACTGTTTCATATTTTAACCTTACTAAAGAGGCTAGCTAGAGGAATACCCTAAAAGAATCAGAAGCCTATTTTATTAATGTTCCCCATAATATTTCCTTATTTCTTGTGTACATTAAACTCATATTTCCATTGTTTGTGGTTTATCATGTTTGCATTCTCTACGTTTTTTTTTTTTTTTTTTTGAAACTGAGTCTTGCTCTGTCGCCTAGTCTGGAGTACAATGACATGATCTCGACTCACTGCAACCTCCGCCTTCCAGGTTCAAGCAATGCTCCTGCCTCACCCTCCTGAGTAGCTGAGACTACAGGCGCCCGCCACCATGCCCAGCTAGTTTTTTGTATTTTTTTACTAGAGATGGAGTTTCACTGTGTTAGCCAGGATGGTCTCGATCTCCTGATCTCGTGATCTACCCGCTTCGGCCTCCCAAAGTGCTGGGATTACAGGTGTGAGCCACTGCACCCGGTCCGCAATCTCTACTTTCTTGATCACATCAGTCTAGGTATTGATAACCTCATTTGTCTTCTCATTTTACTTGTAGGGAAAGAGTCAAATATTGTGAGACTGAGACTTGGTGCTCATAATTGGGTATGAAAGACAGAATATTCATCCTTTCTTAGAATCTGTACCCTAGAATCTGTACCCTTAGAATCTGAACCTAAAAAAACTGAAAGTAGGTTTTTTGTTCCTAGAAGAGGCAAAAAAGCTTTTGCCATATTCACAAAACTCTCAAATTCCAAAACACCATTCAATAATCCCCCAAAGTACTATAATCGATGTTCAAGTAACACATAAACAATCACTTTTTCCCTCGCTGATGATTCTATTGCAATATTTTCTCAAAAACTGTACCGTGGTGGGCCATTCCGTTCTGCCTCTTTAGCTATTGAGCCTACGATATGATTTTGTTAGCACCAAAATACGTCTTCATATCATAATCATTGCTGCAATAAAAGGGATAACAGAGTATCTATCAAGTAAGGCTTTGCTGGACCCAAGAGAGTTGTATATTACATAAGAAACAAACATGAATTCAAGACTGAAAAGCATAAAACATCCTTTCGTAGCAGAAACAGGACAACCTGTAAACTGCAAATTTAGGTGTTTCTACAATTAGAAGTCTAATGGCAGTTCTTATCCTTCTTCCAGCTTCGTAAATGGAAATATGTCTTCTGTTTAGGTTGATTCGAAAGATAACCTTTGAAAAGATAACCTTTCCCTCAAGGGAATATCAGAATCCCGTGTTTTCTGTGGAATAGTATAAAACTTGTATTTTATTTTTGCTCCTGTTTTAGGGGATATCTTTAAAGATATTCTGTTTTAAGAGTATATATTGTGCTAATTTAGTATCATTCTGGATGAATGGGTTGGTAAAATAGTAGGGACCAAAAATTAAGAAATGTAAATTCAGAAAAGTTTAAGAAACTCAATTATTTGTTTTTACCTGCCTGTGAAAATAGTATTTGCAGTTACCTACTATTAAATACTTCAGAATAAATTCAATGTTTCTATATAAAATTATTCGAAGTTATTAGAATATATTCTATTAGAAAAAGCAACATGGTAAGTTACATGAATGAGTAAATTCATATGCAGATATTCTTCTTTCCAGTTAATTTCTTTTTTAGTTCAAGAAAAATGTGGAGTACAAGATTATTTATTTATTTATTTATTTTTATTTTAATTTTATTTTATTTTGTGTGTGTGTGTGTGTGTGACGGAGTCTCTCTCTGTTGCCTAGGCTGGAGTGCAGTGGCGCGATCTCGGCTCACTGCAAGCTCTGTCTCCTGGGTTCACGCCATCCTCCTGCCTCAGCCTCCTGAGTAGCTGGGACCACAGGTGCCCGCCACCACGCCCAGCTAATTTTTTGTATTTTTAGTAGAGATGGGATTTCACTATGTTAGCCAGGATAGCCTTGATCTCCTGACCTTGTGATCTGCCCGCCTCGGCCTCCCAAAGTGCTGGGATTACAGGTGTGAGCCACCGCACCCAACCAGTAAAAGATCATTTTTAAACAACTGCCTAAGTCTCCACTTACATTCTTTGATTCACTCAATCAATCATCCAATTATACAGAAAATACTGGAAGGTCTACTCTAAAATGCATTGGAATCACCCAAAATACATGGTATAAATGCAGATTGTCAAGCCTCATTCTCTGATTAAAAGAGAGAGTATAGAAATCCCAGTTTTTCCAGGTTTTTCAGATACTCCTGATTTCAATGGACCTTAAGCTACACTTAGGAAAATACTGCCTTCCTGTATCATATCCACCCTAACATCAAATGTGACTGAAAGTATCAAAATGCTTAAAATTCCTGCAGGGCTGGGTGCAGCAAGCAAGCAACCAACGTGCAAAATATAAGAAGGCATCAACTCTCAGACTCAATTAGACTTTCTTTTTTTCTTTTTCTTGAAACAGAGTCCCACTGTGTCACCCAGGCTGGAGTGCAATAGCACAGTCTTGGCTCACTGCAACCTCTACCTCCCAGGTTCAAGTGATTCTCCTGCCTCAGCCTCCCAAGTATCTAGGATTACAGGTCTGTTCCACCTCACCCGACTAAATTCTTGTATTTTTACTAGAGACGGGCTTTCCCTATGTTGGCCAGACTTGTCTCAAACTAGAGGCCTTAAGTGATTTACCCACCTTGGCCTCCCAAATTTCTGGAATTACAGGCATGAGCCACCGAGTCCAGTCCTGACTCTGCTCTTGTGAAAGCTGAGAGTACTGTTATTTTAATATCTGATCTACCTGTGGATTCAGCTAACCTAAAGTTGTTGAATTCTTAAGCCACCACCCCCATCTCACCAGGTAAGCCCTGCATTCATCATAACTTTGACTTTCTAGATTCTCAGACACAGTGAATACCCATTCAGATGCTTGTCACGTAGATGGACATTATGTAACTTTCTCTCCTCAGCACAAGAATTGCTTTCAGATCATCAGTGACTTAATTGAACAAATGGCAAAGATCTTGCCAAAATCTGAGAAGATGTCCTCTGACCTTGTAAGTACTTTTAAGTGTAATTTCATTTAAATAGCCCAAAGCTTTTAGCCAAATACAACTTGGCAGTTCAATAATATTTGGGGAGGGTAAAAGCAGGTACTGTGTCAAAGAGCCAAGTGAATAAATTTTTTATAGAAGTCAGTCATATTAATTGTATTGTTCAAAGATGATACTCTTCACATCAGTGTTTATATATCTATTAAAACGTTTGGGTTTATCTAATCCATGTTTTCCTTTATCATATGTTAATACTGGATGTATTTAACACTTCAAAGTGAGGTGATCTGCAAGCAGAGGGGCCCTGAACATGTCTAAATGGAATAGTGACATGTTTCTCCTACAGATGACATTGCAGTTACTAATTGCTCATTATGCTAGAACATGTGTGAACCCTCACACTTCAGGGGTGCTTGTTTTTCACCCTTGAAGTTCTTCAGTTCAAAAAAGGTTAAAGATCTATACCTTAACAAAAGAGAGACAGCCTCAGTTTGCTCTGTAGTATGTACTAAACTTAAATATTCTTTTTATAATATGCTAGTTAGAAAGAGATGTATACTCTTAAATAATGCCAAGACTTTCCTTAACCCCATTTCTGTGGATATTGTTTGCTTTTCAGCATTTCAATTCTTGCTAATCTTATTTCAGCATCCCACATAATTAGAATTGTACAGATTCTAACTATTCAATCATCTCTTCCCTTCCCTATGAAATGTGCTAACAGGATGTGAAATGGAGGTGGGCTCCCTGTGTTCTTGCTCTGAGTCTAAAGGAAGTTAAATATAAAAACTCAGGAAGTGTCTGAACACACCTCCATTTCAATGTGATCCTCAGTTAGTACATTTCCCTTGAGGTAGGCAGAAAAATGTGAATACATTTTTTTAACCTATCCAATTTCAACTTAAAACTTCATCTTAAAATTTTCCTTTTGCCCCATCAACTGGGTGCCCTAGATTATAGAGGAATGGAGAAAGAAAAAAGAACTTGGCTTAACCATTTGCTATTTTGTGATATTTTATATCATATGCTGCTAGCCTCACCAGGAGTGAATATATGTCAATTCGTATATCCAAATCTATGAAAAGGAACATGAAATGGGATCAACTAAATTATATTGAAGACATATACAGATACATTAAGCTTTGGAAAACATCTGGACTTTGGAATACTGGTCCACACGTCTTTCAGAGAGTCTTTCACAGGTAAGAAGAAACATTTCTTGTGATTTTTATTATGTTCAAATTCAGCAAAGGAGATGACTTCATTTCCCTCGTGCTGTGGTTTGAATGTGTGTTTGAATTTATACGTGCAACCTTAACCTCCAAGGTGATAGTATTAAACGGTGGGGTCCATAGGAGGTGATTAGGCCATGAGGGTGGATGGGATTAGTGCCCTTAAAAAAGGACTGGAGGGAACAAATTTGTCCCTTTTGCCCTTGTGCCATGTGAGGACACAGAGAAGGCACCACACAGCCCTCACTGGCCAGTGAATTTGCTGGTACCACAGTCTTAGACTTCTCCGTCTCTAGAACTATGAAAAATAGATTTCTACCACTTATAAATTACCCAGTCTATGGTATTTTACTGTAACAGCAGGAATCAACTAAGACACTTAATCCAACTTAATAGGGTTTGGCTGTGTCCCCACCCAAATCTCATCTTGAATTGTAGTTCCCATAATCCCCACGTGTTGTGGGAGGGACCAGGTGGAAATAAACGGATCATGGGGGCAGTTTCCCCCATCCTGTTCTTGTGATAGATAGTTTTCATGAGATCTGATGGTTTTATAAGGGGTTTTTCCTCCTTTTTGCTAGGCATTTCTTGCTGCTGCCATGGGAAGAAGGATGTGTTTGCTTCCCCCTCTGCCACGATTAAGTTTCCTGAGACCTCCTGAGTCATGCTGAACTGTGAGTCAATTAAACCTTTTTCTTTTATAACATAATGGCCTAGATTATGGACAAAATCTAAGTTTACTTCAATGCTGGGTTAACCGTATGACCGCGGTGGCTGGCATGAAATTAACCAACCCTAAATATTAGTATGGCTTAGTCAAACTTTCACTTATTACTAAAAATTTATCACTGCTGTTTCCTATGGGGATGTGGTTGAGCAAAGTGTTTTGAGCATCATTTGTGCATACTTGATCCCTGCTCCTTTTGATCTGGGTGATCTATTAGAAGGAGGAGGAGAAAAATTAAACCTAAAATATCTTTGGTTGTATGGTAGAGGTGGAAGGTAATTTTGTCGGGGTCTGATGAAACCCCTGAAGCGTTATTAGATCCTGAAACCTGAAAATTAGGCTCTAAAATGTAGCCCAATTGGAGAAATTTGTGAACTTGACCCTTTCTAGAATTTTTGAAAATCGGGTAAGTAGAGATACTTGAGTTTCTAGACTCAAGATTTTAGATAGTGTCTTCTCTATTTTTTCTCACATTTTACAATGAGGCATTGATAATTAATACACTTACCAGTTCCTTTTAGCACAGACCTTGTTTAATAGAATATAGACAAAACTCTCAACATTTGAGAACTGCCAGAAAAGGAGAGGAAACCACTTGCTTTCTGAGAACACACTGGATAACTTCAGCACAAGGCAGAATAAGGGTATTTAGCTCAGAGGGAGGAGAAAGAGAGCGGCCTCAGATATTGCTTATTTTAGTTTTCCTTAAGGCTGCCCACACAAAGTTTTCAGTCAGTGACTCATCAAATTTCATTCTGCTAGATGTGATGCTAAATTTTTTCTATCTTAAGATGTTCAACAAGAATTTTCTGCTAGTAAATGTATTTCCGGTGAGCAGAGGTTATTAAGAATACTTGTCCCATAGACCCCTTTGGCACCTGGTGAAACCTGTAGACCCTCTTTCTAAATTAAGTTATTGAGGGCACAAAACACCTAAGATTAAAGAAAACCTATATTTAAAAACATTTCACAAAATATAGTAAAACAAACTTGTGACATGGTAATATATACACTTCTTCAACACATTTAATAATTGAATCTATGATTACCTAATTATTAGTATAATTTTGATATAGTGGTGGACATAAATAATATATTGAACTATTTGCACAACTTTAATGTATTAGTAATATGAAAATTCTGATTTCTCCTGATGAGAACCACAGATTTTAACAGTACTATGGTCTGTTGCCTACATTCATAGCTTAAGGAAAGGCTAAACCACTTACAGGTTAGTGGGAAAAGGGGATCTAATTGTATTCACTCAAATTCTTGGACCTCCTGAATTCCATAGATGGTCTCCTGGGTGGCTCAAGCTTCCCATGTTAAAAATTCTTGCTATATAGATTAAGGTGAATAAGATACAACCAGATTTCTTTTCTACCTGTCAAATAATAGTTTTGATATATTTCTCATGACATAATCTATACAAACTGAAAAAAACAATCTCTGAGATGATATTTGTGTATGGAAATTAGGTCCGGATTTTATTCTTTTTTTCTTTTCATGTTTTTTTCTTTATGAAACTAAGTGTTCTGTTGGCATGTTTACCACCGTTAAATGCATTTTAATAAAGTCCCTGTAGTATTGTGTGCTTTGACATTGCTGGAAAAGGGTGTCTATTTATGAAAATAATGTTAGACTATAAAGTTAAATAAAGGGAGATGAGGTATCAGAAATAACACGTTTCCATGGTAATTGTTTTTAAACAGTAGATTGATCAATAGCATTTTGTGGTAAGATGTTGTTAATCTGTCTCAGTCAGGACCCAAACGGCAAGCCATTTCAAATTGATCACAGAACAAAAATTGGCATTACGTTCCCTTGGCTTCATTGTGAGTGTGCTCTACAGCTCAATTCACGACCAATGAAAATACTAATGCTAATGACAACTATAAGAATACTGTGCAAAATATCACAGAGAAAGAAAGCAAAGGTTGGGAGTGGAGATTATAATTGTTTCTAGCCCTGTGTTTAAAACTCTTGGAACTTGCGTTTTCATAGTGAAAGAAAACAATTTTTAATAGCAAGCTAGGTGTGTCATCGACAACATCCCAGTTGTGTTCAGTTTGTATTTTCTGAAAAGCTGCATTTCTGAGAAACTCAATGAGAGAAAACCAATGGAAGTTATAATTCCATACCAAAAGTTCTGACTCAAATGTTGACAAAGATCACATAGGAAATATAGAGACTTACAGTAGGCCAGGTATAAAATAGAACAAAGTTTGGAGATGACCAGAGTCACAAGGATTGGAATGTAAGTGAAAATAACAGCTGTGTAGCCAGTAAGAATTTTGTAGTCTGCCTGTTAGAAAGACTGTTATGCCTGGACTTGTGACCTTCCTGATCTTACGTGGATACAAACCAATGTCCTTGTTTCTTTGCTTTCTCAGCTAATAGATTTTTAGAAAAGGGTTTCTGGAGCCAAACACACTGTCCATGGTTTGACAGAGTGAATGGAGACAGGAAAACATATACTTTCTCAAAAGAGCAAGATTGCTTTTCCATCCTCATTCTTCTGGTCTGTCCACTGTACTGCAGCAATATTAACCAACTTGATCTTTCCTTTTGTCACATTCTTACCACCATATTTCCACCTTAATTTATTATGTAGCAGCAGGCTTTCATGTAATTATTTAATTTTTGGTTTCCTACCACAGATTGTGTGTGACTTATCCAGTGTTCATAGTAATACTACAAAATAAACAAACAAAATGACAATTTATTTAGCCTTGAGTCTATAGGGTTTTGCTGATTGGAACTCGGATTGACTGACATGGCTATGCTTAGGTGGTTTCAGCTGGGCTTGCATATGCCTCTGCAGCCAACAAGAATTAGCTTGGAGGTGCTGCCCATCTTGGTGAGCTCACTCACATGTTTGGTTGAGGGTCAGCTACTGGTTGCCTTACCTAGGATGTCCTCATCTGGGCTGACTTGAGTGGTTTGGTTCGTTCCTCATATCCCTTTCTTCAACAGGCAAGCCTGAGTATGTTCTTCCCATTGTGTAGATGCTCCTTGACTTATGATGAGGTTACATTCCAATAAACCTATTGTAAGTGAAAAATATTTTAAGTCAAAAATGCATTTGATACCTTGCTAAAGCCATCATAAAGTTTAAAAATTGTTCAGTTGAACTATCGTAACTCAGGGACCATCCATTACTAGCAGAGGGCAAGAGACATGTCCAAGAACATTTTCAATCTTATTCATGAGTCACTTTGCTAGTATTTCATTGACTAAAATTAGTCACAAAACCAGCCAGGTTCATGAGTAAGAGTATAAAGGCAAATCAAAATCACAAAGAGATATCACTTTATACCCATTAAGCTGGAAAAATAAAACAAAATGAAATGAAACCTGAAATTAACAAGTGTTGGAAAGGATATAGAGAATTTGGAACACTTCTGCATTGTTGGTGAGAATATCAAATGAGGGAACTGCTATAGAAAATGGTATGGTGATTGTTCAAAAATTTAAACATAGAATTACAATGTGATCCAGAGATTTCCTCTCTAAGTACATACCCAAAGAATTAAGAGAATTTAGTTTTCAAATAATCGAAAGCTTGGGTTCAAACAGATATTTTCACACCCTTGTTCAGTAGCAGCATTATTCACAAAAACCAGAAGGAGAAGTGTCCCAGGTGTCCATCAACAGATGAAAGGATAAACAAAATGTGGTACATATGTACAATGAACTATTATCCAGTCTTAAGGGAATTTTGTTGCATGCTAGAGCATGGTTGAAACTTGAAAACATTACGTTGTGAATTATGCCAGTCACAAAAGGACAAATATTGTATGATTCCACTTCTACTAGGTTCCTAGAGTAGTCAAATTCATAGCAAGTAGAGTGGTGGTTGCCAGGAACTAGAGTTGCTCCAGGGACAGGAATTGGTAATTAATATTTAATAGATACAGGGTTTCCGTTGGGGAAGACAAAAGAGTTCTGAAGATGGATGGTAGTAATAATTGCATAATGTGAATGTACTTCATGCCACAGAATTGTACACTCAAAAATGGCTAAAATAATGAATTTTATGTTATGTATATTTTGCTACAAGAAAAAAATACACAAAAAGAGCAAGGTTATAGATTGAACCTCATCAGTACTTATTAGTGAAAGCCATGTAGCAAAATGGGTGCACAGAAAGGTGAAGAATTAGAGACATTCAGGCAGTATCTACCACAATGGGAATCTTTAAAGGTGGTAGCACTTTTAGCAAAGCACTAGAATCATTACAGTATTAAATTTTATTCCAAGTGGCCTGATATTTATAACAGATTTAAAACATTATAGAGGGGTATTATACCAGTCTTAGCATTGAACTCTAAATGCAATAGGGATTTAAGTTTTGATCCAGAACTCAAGAATACAGATGACAGAATACCCAACCCTCTTAGCACACAAAATGCTCGTTGCAGTGACACATTTGAGTTGTAGGGAATAATTCAAACCCTGTTTAGGTTTTCTTATGATGCATATCACATGATGCATATAATAACTAAATAATTAAAATCGTTTGTATCAAATGGATATCATTAAGATATCTGGGACTGAGCACAGTGGCTCACTTCTGTAATTCCAGCACTTTGGGAGGCTGAGGCGGGAGTATTACTTGAGGCCAGAAGTTCAACACCAGCTTGAGCAACATACTGAGACCCCATCTCTACAAAAATTTTCTTTAAAAATTTGCCACATGCAGTGGTACACATCTCTAGTCCCAGCCAGTTGGGGGGCTGAGACAGGAGGATTTTTTGAGCCCAGGAGTTTGAAGCTGTAGTGAGCTATGATTGTACCACTGCACTCCAGATGCGGTGACAGAGCATGATACACTGTTTCTTTTTTAAAAAATGAAAAAAAAAGATGTCTGGGAAAATAAGGTACTGAACACC